CTCCGGCATTGAGGAAAAAACACGGCACGGTCCTGTCGTCCATCTTGGTCGCCGGCCGTTCCCACATGAAACCGTACTGGAAAAACGGAATCAAGCGAAAAGGGCCTTTCTTGCCGGTGTAGAGCTCCTGCGGCGACGCACCCGCTGGGTTGGATGGAGATACAGACTGGTTCAGCTTCTGCGCGGCGTCTTTTGCGGACTCCGCNCAGACGTGGGCGGTCCTCTCGTTCAGCACCTTGACCGTGATGTCGGCGTGGTTGTCTCCGGCATTGAGGAAAAAACACGGCACGGTCCTGTCGTCCATCTTGGTCGCCGGCCGTTCCCACATGAAACCGTACTGGAAAAACGGAATCAAGCGAAAAGGGCCTTTCTTGCCGGTGTAGAGCTCCTGCGGCGACGCACCCGCTGGGTTGGATGGAGATACAGACTGGTTCAGCTTCTGCGCGGCGTCTTTTGCGGACTCCGCCCAGAGCTCATCGCCCCGTACGCTCAGCCCGCGGATGCGTGAAAATCCGGCAGGGCCAAGCAGCTCTTGGGCAGCCCGGGGAGAAGCCTTGGCCACCTTCAGGCACCTCTGGATGGCGCTCTCGACGACGCCGTTGTACTCCTGCACGTCCGGAGGGGAGTACTCGAGCGCGATCCCCATGCCGGCGCAGAACTCCTTGAAGCTACCGCTGGTCCAGAGCGCGTCGCAGTCGCAGCGGATGCACTAGATCGCGGTACCAGCCTTGTGGGCGGCATCCATGACCATGCGCTTGACGACCGCTAGCGCCTCCGAGTTCCGCCGCATCGCATAGCAGACCATCCAGCCCGTGGCGGCGTCCACGCCGAAGAGCATGTAGTGGTTGCCGCCGATGGTCGCCGTGTAGCCGCCGCAAATGTCGATGTGGACACGTCGTTCGGCGCCCCCTTACCGCGGTACCCGCCCCCCTGCTTCGGCACCGACGCCCTCATCCCCCGCGCCGGCAAGCACCAACGGCAGCTGTCCATGGTCCCCGTGAGGGTGATCCCGTGCTGCTTCGCGGACAGTCTCAAAACGAGTTCGGACAGATGGACAGCACAGTTGTGGAACGTGTTAATATCCATGACCTTTTGTACATTGCCGACGTTCAAGGGCGTCTTCCCCTGACCCAAAACAGCCATTGCACGCTCACACTCATCACTCTCCCACACATCAATCATCCTAGCGGAGTATTCAGCGGAAACATCCGTCACACGAGGGGTTTCGTACTCAGAATCCATCAGGCAAGCAAACACGTCGGGGTGGGAAGCAGACGGGAACAGACTCCTCATGCAGTCATTGGCCCAACCTCGGCAGGGGTCAACACTCTCGGCTGTAAGAGCCGAGGCCACTAAAGAACTAACGCGCAATGCTCACAGAAGGCAGAGATTTGTGGGGAAGACGGGTTGCCAAAAGGGAATCGCTCGACACGCCACGAATAAAGCGCAGTTTCACGTGCATGAATTGAGTGCCGTTGGGGTTTATCCGGACTTCATGTTTGTGAGACACTCCATAGCGAAAACAGGTTGAAACCACATCCAGGTACATAAAGAACTTCAGGCACGGTAATGTCAACGTCTTCTTGTTTCCCGTTAGCTCCGATCTGGTGGAATCTCAGGTCTCAACTTCCCACAGCAGCTACATTAAGCAACGCGGACTCATCAATCTGAATGTACTGCTCATCAGAATACAAGCGGCGCACGTCGTGTATATGGTCCAGACTGTGGGTGATCATTGCGCTCGCTCCTGAGTCAGCTTGCCACTGCTCACTACCGCTAGGTCTAGGCATGTGAGGTTGGCACAGGAAAGCTTGGTTGATGATTGGACGCCTAGTAACACGCGCTACTAGTACTTCAGGCACACGAGGGGCAGCAGGCATAGACACACCACCAGACTCCGAAAAACCCAATTCTTCATCACTCTCGGGCATTGCACGCACACAGGGTACAACAGGCATCGCAGGCATATCCGACTCTGGAACACCGAAATTCTCCTCATGACTCTTTAACACTTCAGACACACCGGGTGAAGCAGACATGAACACATCAGACGGCGAAAAACCAAACTCCTTCTCAAAATCAGACTCAGACTTGCCTCGAAGGCACAAACTACGTGCCATGGAGAGACGAAGCGGGGCGTCGCCAGCTGGAGGTAGAGCATCGCCTGGAGCTGCAGAGGGAGAGGAGGAGGAAAATGTCGCCGGTGTGTGCCGTAGTGCTGCTGCTGCTGCTGCTGCTGCTGCTGTTGCTGCGGTAACGTAGCCTGATAGGTCGAGGTGTCGAAGGCCTCGTATTGAAGTCGCGGTTGGTAGGCGTCAGGGCCTGCAGCAGAAGGGTAGTGTGGTGCGTGGTTCTGCTCCTGCTGCTGAGGAAATAGCCCGCCGCCATCGGGAAAATGATCGAAACCGTATCCCCCGCCGGCGTTGCCGTAGAGACCTCCGCCATGGTCCCCTGCATGAGCCGCAAGCCCGTACCCGTAGTCTGCCTCGGGAGGTGGTCTTGTCCAGCTGGGTGTTGGTACCTGCGCCGGTGTTGCCTCCCATCCCGAGGTGGTGCCGTAGCCGAAAGAATCTCCGCCGCCCATGGCCAAATTAGCCGGAAGATAGGGCCGCGGAACGTTGGCAATCTGCCCGGGAGGAACGTTGGGCGGCGGATAATTACCGCCGCGGGCGCCCCCGCCGTGTCATTCACGGCCCTCGGGAGGTTGAGACCCGTAGCCGCCGTAGCCACCCCCCCCAGAGTTGCGCTCCAGTTGCTGCTGCCATCCGGCCCCTGCTACTGGTCCCCGCGGCGGTCCTGGTAGCGCAGGAGGGTGCCCCTGACTCCACCCCGCACCTTGTTGATGGTGGTACGGCGCCTGTCTTGATGGACCACCAGCCATACGCCCCGAGTCTTGCGCTCCGCCTCGAGGCATTGCAGACCCCCAAGCTTCCCCCCGCCCTCTCATGTACGCGAAGAACTCGTTTTAGTGGGCGAGGAAGTCACCGCGCAACTTGTGGCAATCGGATGCCTCGTGGGTGCTGTTAGGGCCGTGGAATTGGCAGAAGTGCGACGATTGCTGCTGTTGTGGCTGCATCGACGTGGGAGGCTGTTGCAGCTGCTGTCCACGGTGGTCCGTCCCGGCAGCTGGTTTCCTCGGCTCACCGCCCCGGCCCATGCCGGCAGCGGCGAGGGCGTGCCTCGTCTCCTCTCTCCTCTCTCCATCTCTCCGCTCGTGCCTCCGCTCTTGCTCAGCCATCCTCAGCGTCTCCTGCATGGTAACCCTCGACAAAACAGGGTGGAAAAGCACACGGCCTTTGGTCTTATCGAATTCTTCCAGAAAGCCTCGGGCAATGTGTTTGCACATGGATGACTCAGTTCTGTTATCCCCATACGTCCTCAACCTCATCCACAATGCGACGGCCCTTCTATAGTAATTCGTCAGACTCTCCCCCTGCTTCTGACACAATACATTCCACTCGTCGTCGAGCTTCTGGCGCTCTTCACTCTTATCGTGGCTGTACTGGTTGAGAAAACATTGTACCCCGCTTGCGGCGACTCAGGCGCCAAAATCTGTGCTTGCACTGGTTGCGCTGTGATTTTGCCTAGCATGAACGTCCACACCTTGAATTCCTCACTTGCTCTTCTCCATAAGTCCTTGCCAACCAGTTCAGACCACATCCATACCACCTACAGGAACCTCTGGACCCCTCATCGTGTCTGATAGCTCTCATTGTCAAGCCAAGCTTCAAGTGCGACACGCAACGCCATCGATCTGCCCTTTCAAGAACTCCTCATTCCACAATGGCACATTGACTTTTTCTCTCTGCCGCAACTCTAAAGTCTGTGCGCCCGACGTGCCTGAATAGGCACGAGGCCCCTGATCCTGGGAGGAGGCCGTGAAGGCCTGCTTGAGACCCAGCGAGCGCAACGTGTCCTGCTGATCTGTCCCCCCTGCGGCTCTCGCACCTCCCACATCTCGTGCATCGTTGACGGAGAAAGAATCACTTCCTCCTCCGCCCGCGACGCCTTCTCCGGCGGCGGGGGATCCGCGCCCTTGCCCCGCCGGAGGTAGTTGTCCGTCTCCGTCCGGCATCTTGCGCGCGTAGACACAGCAACCGCTCTCTCGATCGGTAGGCTAGCGTGTTGAGTGGCTTGGTGCCTTGGCGCGGGGTCCCGTGAAGGGAAATAAAAGAGCCAGCAGCTTGGCAGCCACTGAACGGTGAAAATACAGAAGATTATCCGCTGGCGTGGCAGCCACTTCCTATTTTGTTGTGAAGCGTGGTAGCTCGGATGGATGTGATAACCCTGGTGGTGGCGTGAAAGCCGGGTGGCGTGATAGCCGAGTGGCGTGAAAGCCGGGGAAAAGGATTGGATAATACAGAAAAGGAGGAAAGAAAAGAGACGGAACCACAACCCACATCATCACATCCGTTGTAGATACCCATACCCTCAATCGTATATGCGGCAAAGTTGGAACCACCAAATCCAATTCATAGCAACTGTTGAACCCCCAAACTCCCCGCTCCGTCTGCTTGGAAAATTCTTGCGTAAAATAGATAATCTGTCGATGCTGTGAGTATATTACCCTCCCCAAAACCAAATAATAAATAATACACCCCAAGTATAGCTTTTTATACACACCAGCTGCGAACTGCGGCACGCTCGTGAACGAGGAGGACCCTGAATCCACCGACCGGCGGTGTTCAGCGTGTGTATCCGCTGGCAAGGGCAAGCGGAAGGCCCCCTCACCCTCTACGTAGTTTACTTCTTGCCCCGCATCACGCATCCAACGTCCTTGTCGTGGGTTTGACAAGTATAAAATTCGGTCCAGGGGGTGTGGTATCTTATGCAACCTACGGCTTCGGGCGCTTTAGGACCAGGGGGAACCAATTCCTGATACTACAGATCGGGACTACCTGTGACGGATTGAAGGCGCTGATTAGTTCACATCTAGCGAGCGTTGCTCTCGTTGCAACTAGTGCAGCAGCAGAGTGTAGTCCACGCTCACCGTTCCTGTAGGACTCTCGAAGATACCGATGCCCCCGTTCTCGAGGGTGGAGTAGATTTTGCGCATCAGCTGTTTCTGGACGTCGTAGGGCTCGAAAGGGAACGGGATATCAGGTTCTTCCCTAGCAGACCCTTCATTACGGCCACGCATCTTGTTGTCACCACCACTGCTCATGTCCCTTCCCCAAGCTGGCACACGCTGCGCCAGCACCTGTTGTGCCGCACAGAACACGGCCAAATTCAAAAATCAAGCATATCCATATCCCGTGAATTCGGGAACTGACTCACGGAGCCCCTCAGTTGGGTGTGTTGCGTCATGTGTCATGCTTGCGTTCACCACACCTGTGACGCTGTGTCTGGCGGTCTCGTCCTTCCCAAAGGCCAGTGTCTACCCACTGCTTCAGTGCCTTCAGTTGTTGTCAAGGCCAGATTCTCAGCGGTTCTTCATTCCCGAGTACAAGACACGCGTAGAGCTGCTGTGTAGTTCACTCCGTGCTCTCTTTTGACGATTCAGAGTATGGTGCTGACCAAGGCTCAAATAACGGCCTTGGCAGCAACATGCTCGTTGTACAGCTTCAGCCAGGCGGGGGCCTTTGTGCAACATAGCCACACAGGGTCCTTCCGAGCTAACCCTTCACCCTCGGCCGGCGGTTTCAGCCCCCTGGGAGCGAGAGCGAGGGCTAGACAGGGCGTGATCTCCTCTACCGTTGTTGCAACATCATGTTTCTCGCCCTCACGGTGGTTCCCCCGCACAACAATGCGTCAACAGCAACAGCACCCCCGCCACCAGCGGCGACGCTCGAGGACCTCGCACGTTCGACTCGGGGCCCTTCCTGAGGGCTCTGATGGCGAGATAACTACCGCTAACAAAGGGATAGAATCGGGACGGACCGAAGCGGAGCGATCTGCTGATGATGCCGGCAGTGGACGTCGTCAACGAGCGGCGGGATCAGCTGCAGGCGGGGGCGGCGGCGGCGTCGCTGGGAAGGGCGCGAGAGGCTGTTGCAGCTGCTGTCCACGGTGGTCCGTCCCGGCAGCTGGTTTCCTCGGCTCACCGCCCCGGCCCATGCCGGCAGCGGCGAGGGCGTGCCTCGTCTCCTCTCTCCTCTCTCCATCTCTCCGCTCGTGCCTCCGCTCTTGCTCAGCCATCCTCAGCGTCTCCTGCATGGTAACCCTCGACAAAACAGGGTGGAAAAGCACACGGCCTTTGGTCTTATCGAATTCTTCCAGAAAGCCTCGGGCAATGTGTTTGCACATGGATGACTCAGTTCTGTTATCCCCATACGTCCTCAACCTCATCCACAATGCGACGGCCCTTCTATAGTAATTCGTCAGACTCTCCCCCTGCTTCTGACACAATACATTCCACTCGTCGTCGAGCTTCTGGCGCTCTTCACTCTTATCGTGGCTGTACTGGTTGAGAAAACATTGTACCCCGCTTGCGGCGACTCAGGCGCCAAAATCTGTGCTTGCACTGGTTGCGCTGTGATTTTGCCTAGCATGAACGTCCACACCTTGAATTCCTCACTTGCTCTTCTCCATAAGTCCTTGCCAACCAGTTCAGACCACATCCATACCACCTACAGGAACCTCTGGACCCCTCATCGTGTCTGATAGCTCTCATTGTCAAGCCAAGCTTCAAGTGCGACACGCAACGCCATCGATCTGCCCTTTCAAGAACTCCTCATTCCACAATGGCACATTGACTTTTTCTCTCTGCCGCAACTCTAAAGTCTGTGCGCCCGACGTGCCTGAATAGGCACGAGGCCCCTGATCCTGGGAGGAGGCCGTGAAGGCCTGCTTGAGACCCAGCGAGCGCAACGTGTCCTGCTGATCTGTCCCCCCTGCGGCTCTCGCACCTCCCACATCTCGTGCATCGTTGACGGAGAAAGAATCACTTCCTCCTCCGCCCGCGACGCCTTCTCCGGCGGCGGGGGATCCGCGCCCTTGCCCCGCCGGAGGTAGTTGTCCGTCTCCGTCCGGCATCTTGCGCGCGTAGACACAGCAACCGCTCTCTCGATCGGTAGGCTAGCGTGTTGAGTGGCTTGGTGCCTTGGCGCGGGGTCCCGTGAAGGGAAATAAAAGAGCCAGCAGCTTGGCAGCCACTGAACGGTGAAAATACAGAAGATTATCCGCTGGCGTGGCAGCCACTTCCTATTTTGTTGTGAAGGGTGGTAGCTCGGATGGATGTGATAACCCTGGTGGTGGCGTGAAAGCCGGGTGGCGTGATAGCCGAGTGGCGTGAAAGCCGGGGAAAAGGATTGGATAATACAGAAAAGGAGGAAAGAAAAGAGACGGAACCACAACCCACATCATCACATCCGTTGTAGATACCCATACCCTCAATCGTATATGCGGCAAAGTTGGAACCACCAAATCCAATTCATAGCAACTGTTGAACCCCCAAACTCCCCGCTCCGTCTGCTTGGAAAATTCTTGCGTAAAATAGATAATCTGTCGATGCTGTGAGTATATTACCCTCCCCAAAACCAAATAATAAATAATACACCCCAAGTATAGCTTTTTATACACACCAGCTGCGAACTGCGGCACGCTCGTGAACGAGGAGGACCCTGAATCCACCGACCGGCGGTGTTCAGCGTGTGTATCCGCTGGCAAGGGCAAGCGGAAGGCCCCCTCACCCTCTACGTAGTTTACTTCTTGCCCCGCATCACGCATCCAACGTCCTTGTCGTGGGTTTGACAAGTATAAAATTCGGTCCAGGGGGTGTGGTATCTTATGCAACCTACGGCTTCGGGCGCTTTAGGACCAGGGGGAACCAATTCCTGATACTACAGATCGGGACTACCTGTGACGGATTGAAGGCGCTGATTAGTTCACATCTAGCGAGCGTTGCTCTCGTTGCAACTAGTGCAGCAGCAGAGTGTAGTCCACGCTCACCGTTCCTGTAGGACTCTCGAAGATACCGATGCCCCCGTTCTCGAGGGTGGAGTAGATTTTGCGCATCAGCTGTTTCTGGACGTCGTAGGGCTCGAAAGGGAACGGGATATCAGGTTCTTCCCTAGCAGACCCTTCATTACGGCCACGCATCTTGTTGTCACCACCACTGCTCATGTCCCTTCCCCAAGCTGGCACACGCTGCGCCAGCACCTGTTGTGCCGCACAGAACACGGCCAAATTCAAAAATCAAGCATATCCATATCCCGTGAATTCGGGAACTGACTCACGGAGCCCCTCAGTTGGGTGTGTTGCGTCATGTGTCATGCTTGCGTTCACCACACCTGTGACGCTGTGTCTGGCGGTCTCGTCCTTCCCAAAGGCCAGTGTCTACCCACTGCTTCAGTGCCTTCAGTTGTTGTCAAGGCCAGATTCTCAGCGGTTCTTCATTCCCGAGTACAAGACACGCGTAGAGCTGCTGTGTAGTTCACTCCGTGCTCTCTTTTGACGATTCAGAGTATGGTGCTGACCAAGGCTCAAATAACGGCCTTGGCAGCAACATGCTCGTTGTACAGCTTCAGCCAGGCGGGGGCCTTTGTGCAACATAGCCACACAGGGTCCTTCCGAGCTAACCCTTCACCCTCGGCCGGCGGTTTCAGCCCCCTGGGAGCGAGAGCGAGGGCTAGACAGGGCGTGATCTCCTCTACCGTTGTTGCAACATCATGTTTCTCGCCCTCACGGTGGTTCCCCCGCACAACAATGCGTCAACAGCAACAGCACCCCCGCCACCAGCGGCGACGCTCGAGGACCTCGCACGTTCGACTCGGGGCCCTTCCTGAGGGCTCTGATGGCGAGATAACTACCGCTAACAAAGGGATAGAATCGGGACGGACCGAAGCGGAGCGATCTGCTGATGATGCCGGCAGTGGACGTCGTCAACGAGCGGCGGGATCAGCTGCAGGCGGGGGCGGCGGCGGCGTCGCTGGGAAGGGCGCGGGGGGGTTGGACGGGCAGTTTATCAGCAAGCTAGCCAAGAGGTTGACCGACAGCTTTCCTCTGCTCACCACAGAGGAAATCAAGAAGGAGGTCCGGGCGCTACTCAACCCAGAGACAAAGGGAGACACGCCCTCCAAGGTGTGACCCCATTCGATGCTTGGGGGGCAAAGGACCTACCGTATGTATTGGTCGACGGGGTGTGCATCTTCGTGCTCGGGTTCTTCATGTATGTAACGAGTTTGGATTTTCGTTGGTGCCCATCTGCAGCTTTTAGGGCTCTCCGTGTTGTTGAACGAAGCAATTCCGGCGGTACGCATGGCTTGGGCAGGGCGGATGCGCTCTGGGCTAGAACAGAAAACTGCCTTGGGTAATGTCGGGTCTCAAAAACATGTGCCTTGTGTCGCCAGTGCGATCCCTCGAGCGGCCGCTTCTACTGGTGCTCGCCAGTTCTATTCCGTTAGTTCTACGCTTGTGAGGCAATGCTAGTCGTCAAGGCTCGAATGCGACAAAGTGACGGGAGTACGGAGGATACGTCTCTCAGTTGTTTCGTCTTTACCGTGAAGCGGCTACCCACATATGCATGCATACGACGACCCTCTGTCAAGTTGTCGAAAATCGAGCGAAGAAAGGCATCGCCGCGCTTCAGACGAGTTGGCATCGATCGCCTGTGCTTGCCCTTCGAAGTTGAGTGCACAACTCGTTTGTAGACTCCAACACACCCTTTCGAACTGGGTGTTTTCTGCAACGGGTTGTTGTCTTCCAGTGATTAATTATCTACTGTCTAACAAAGTGTACAATATCTGCGCGCCACACATTTACTTGCGTTGTGCTTTGGGGGGGCGCCGCAGGCGACCGGCGCCCGCGACGACACCCTCGCTGTTCTTGCGAAGGAAGTGCGAGAGCTGGTGGAAGACCTCATGGACCAGGTCGGCGTCGGCTCCGGCGCGGACGAGAAAGCGGGGCTGGTCGAGCTCAAGGACGTTGCTCAAAAATTCAAGGTGCGAGCATGCTTAGCGAAAGCGCAGAGCCACACGTAGGTTGGCAAGTGACAAGGTGTGTGATAGGCAGAGTTTTCCCAGCGGCTGCTGCTAGAAGTCGCCCCGAGTTGTGCGAAGCCGGTGAGCTAGGGTGACCAGTTCCGAGGGGTGTTTTAGGCAGAGGCATGGCTGTAAGACGTTGCCCGAGTCGTGCGTAGTTGGTGTACGTACTGGTTACGTGGTCAACGATAACGTCGCCCGAGTTGTGCGTAGCTGCTGTACGTAAGGGTTACGTGGTCAACGATAACCTCAAAATGTAGAAATAATGCCTCGTGGGCTTGAAACACAGGGGGTGCTAAGGGGCGACCCCGCGGCGGTGCAAGAACTCCGTCGGCAAGTGCTGGACGACCTGGAGGAGGTCCGGGAAGAGATCGAAGAGCTCCTGGAGGTTAAGGTGGGGTGTTGCTAAGCTTTGGTACATCCTTTCTGTCTCTTCTCTACGCAAGAAACCAATACCGCGGACTCTCTGTTTCTCCGCCAGTGCTGCAGTACACGCGGGGTCACGCAGTGGGGGGCGTCCTCTTTCAGCAGCAGCCGCACGACGCTTGGCCTTTGCGCCCAGTTAACGGTTGACTGCTATTTTGTAGCACAGAGGTAGTATTGTGTACTCTGCTGACAACCGTTGGCTGAGGCTCTCTGCTTCAATTTCCGTGGTGCAACCATGTCTCTCAAGTACCTCCTCGCCGACAAGTGTTCGCCAACACCCTTCACCTTGCCAAAAAGTAGACGAAGGGCGTTGCGTTTTCCTGCTCTCTTCCACTGACATACCACGTGTCGTTAAATAGTAAAACCCACACAGCAACCCAGGCTAAATGTCGATCCGGACACATCTTGGCCCAGGAATCGAGGCATGAAAGAGACGTAACTGCGGCCCGAGGTACAGTTCAATTGGGTCGACGACGAGGCACCGACAAATTACACCTTCTAAAAAAAAACTTCGAACCCATTGTGCTTTGAGGTGAACAGATGCTCCTGCAACTTCGAACTGTTAACGTTTGTTTTCTAGGAAGTGTGTACCCTTGTCTTTTGGTGGTTGGCTTGTGACCACGGAAGGCACCCGCGTCAGTTCCAACAACAACAACAACAACAACAACTGCTCCCGAGGACTGGTGCGGGTGGTGGCTCAGCCCGTCTGAAACCGTCCCTTTTGTGTGTGTCTGCTTGCTGTCTTCAGGAGCTGTCGAAGGCAAGAGCCAAGCTGGAGAAGGCGACGGCGGAATCTACGGAGATGGTGCTCGACTCGGCGGCCGCCGCGCTGGCGAAGGGGATCGACAAGGTCGTCAACGAGGGGAGGGACGCCATTCCGGAGGGAGAGGAGACGGAGAAGTTCCAGGTGTCCACGTGAGCAAGCACTCGCCTTGTAAAGAGCTGTTCCGCCAGAAGCTGCAGGCCCTACCGTGGAGAATATTTGTCAACACCAACCATCAAAGGCAAAACAAGCACACGTGTAGTTTTGAAGCCTGACCGAAAAACCAAGGCAATTGCACAATAGATGGGAGGGCAGGCAGCAACAACACGACTGCCCCACCTCCGGAATGCTCTGTACTCGCAAAAACGTGCGTGCGCGCCAAAACAAAAGTTACTTCTTCGGGAAGGAGAACGAACTCTGGAACGACATGCGGGCCAATGGGGTTACCCGCGAGAGGTTCGTCCTCTATTCCCTTCTCGGAGGCGCCGTCGCGCTCGGGGGAAATCTCTTCGGGGTGACCTCGGCGCTGTTAGGCAGCGTGGCTCCCGAGGCTTCGAGGGACTTGCGGGTGGACCTGCTGTTTCCCATCGGAGGGTTCAAGAGGTGAGAACGTGCGTCAGCTGGGGCTTTCGGGCTGTTTGCAGGATAAGGGTTTGTTGGAGCGATGGGAAAGTTAGGTTCGTTTTTCACTGTCCGTGCATCTGTGTGCGCCGGTGATTCTCCGTTTGTAAACCGCAAGCCTTTTAACGCGGCTTGAGACGTGGGCTCGGGACTTGGTGCAGTCGCACTAGCGGGGATTGTTGTTCTGAAAGCACGCCCAATCCCCACTTCTCGTGCGTAGCGATCGATTCGACTTCAAGCAAGGTCGACCGGGGGATATGGGATGGCTGAATCCTTCACGCGGTAAAATGAAGGCCCGGGCACCGCGGAAGGGAAGACGACTAATAGTAATGCCAAGACACGCACGGAAGGCGACGAGCACTTTTGTGTGGCCTTCCATCCTGTAAGCCCTCTTGGCGGTTGCGCCCAAAAAGACACGAAAGGGCATCACAACTGACGTCCAGGTAGATGGGATGACACACACACACATGGGAAGACTTGACGATTGTGGTGTACGTGTATGCCGGCCGTGATTGTTATACATCGAGTTTGGAGTTCGTTGTTCTCCGCTGGTTGAGTATTTGTACGCAAGGTGGTCGGAGAGGTCGCCGCCTTTGTTCGGAAGATGCTCCGTCGTGTACGATTTTCATGTCTCGTTTTATGGGAGGGACTCCTAAACCGACAACCACCGCCCTCAATTTTTCCGTGGCATACCTCGCGGGACGACCCGCGAGTTTTCCATGAACCACGTTTCCACGGGTCTTGCCGACACTCCGACAGGCACCCTCCTCCAACAGCCAGACACGACCCTTCACCCTTGGCCCCCGAAACCTTCTCCTCCCGCCTACTGTTTGCCTGTTGTTACACGTCCTTGCGCGGGTTGGAAACATTGCGTGTGTGTGTGTTTCCTGTTAGCATCGACCGCGCTAGCCGGCTGACCAATGAAGATACGTCAGTCTTACTGCGGTTGAAAACACATGCTTCTGGAGGCCACAATCTGGAACCCTGTGAGCGAGCCTCATTGGGAGGTCTACGCTACTCTACGCATAAAAGAATAATACCTTAGCGGCAACAAAAGTAAGCTGCACGTGTTTACCATGGCTGCTGCTACTTTGGACACGTGTGCGCGTGTGTGAATAGGTTTTACTCTCCCGAGGATGGATACGAGTTCATATACCCGGACACGTGGGTGGGCGACTCGGTGAGTGGGGAGCCGAGTTTCGGTGGTTTTGAGCGGGGAGCTTCTTAGTGCGTACTGTATTGTGTGCGTTTTCCTAGTTGGGATTGACCGCGTTACTGAGAGATTGAGTGTGAGGGTGGGAAACTTTGGCGAGTAGTGACTCCGAGTGTGTTTTCCTCCGTATGTGGGCACTGGCACGGGGTATTTCTGTCAGTTATTTAGAGACTTTGGGTGGTTGGGAGGATGGAACGGACCCCGTGGAGATTGCGAGCTCGAGGTTTTGCTAAAGCCGTGAAGTCTAGGCGGCCGACCTACACGCGCACGCAGGGCATGCAGCATATTGGTACTCCCTGCATGCTTTGCGGGGGGGATGTGTGACTCATGGAGGCGACTGTTGGCGACAGGCAGTCGGTATGCCACCTTCTTCTGAACGTCAGCGTTTTTTTTGGGGGGGGGGCTCCTGTGTGTGTTCGCGGTATGCCCGCCGAGCGCGCCTCCCCATTCTGAGTTAGTTGCTTCTTCGGTTGCCTCCCGCTCGTGTGTCTCCTCTCTCTCTCTCTCTCTCTCTCTCTCTCTCTCTCTCTCTCTCTCTCTCTCTGGTGCGTCAGGGCTTGGCGCTGCGGCGACAACGCGACCTGGAGGACTTGCGGGCCTCCCCCGCCGCGGTCGCGAGAGCCCGCCAGAGGAGGTCGAGCTCGGCACCCGAGGTCGCCTTCGGCCCCCAAGGTACTTGCACGAAAGCCAGGCGGCTGCCGGGCGGGGGGGGTCGTTAGTTGACCCTGCCTTGACAGCCCGTCAAGACGTGTATTTTCTTTTCAAATGTACTAGTTTTAGTGGAGGGGAGTTTGCAGTCCTCGACAGAAGACGCGTCGAGGGGGGAAGTTGCGTCAACCGGTAACGTTTGCAAGCGGGCCCTCAAAGAGCGGGATGGTACTCCTTGTATCCTCGTATGCGGCTGCTGGCCATCTAAGCGTTGTGTGTGACTGGATTTGGCGAGCCGGTTTCTTCCCGGCGATGCGAAGTAGCCTCGCAGTGACAGACTGACAGCGATTGGGTTACTGGCTGGGTACAGTGCTACGATGTCGACGATGTCTACGATGGGCACGAGCAGCCCTTTGGTTTGGCCGTTTACCGCCGGTCCCCAGCGCGGGTTACGAGAACATGAACGTGCGATTTCCTGCGTTGTGCACGACTCTTTCTCTCGCGCTCCCTACGGGTCTTCGTGCCTGCCTGTGCATCTGTGGTAAAGTCACTCGTTCGACTCTCTAAGCGGTGTCCAATCGCGCCCTCGATGATTGTTTGTTGCCGCTCACCTCTGTCCTTGGCCGCCAGTCTTTGATTCTTTTCTTCTTCTTCTCGAAACGTCTTGTTAGGAGGAGACGGCACTGAAAACGTCTCGGTGGTGAAGAGCGAGCTCATGCCCGGATTTTCTCTTAGACGAACGCTCGGAGACCCCAAGGAAGCCGCCGAGAAAATTCTCTCGACCGTGATTGCTCCGCCTGACTCGGGTAAGGTCGCGTGTCACTTCTGCAGCATGCTGAGAGGGAAGGCACGGTCGCAATGACGCACTTCCGAATCGATGATGGTAGTAGCCACTGCCGAACAAACGTTTCAGCTCCTTCCCTAACTCACCCCCCGCTCCCCGATCCTTCGCTTCGCCATGCTTCGCGATTCAGGGAGAGAGTGGGAGCTGTTCGAAGCTTTCGAAGACAACAGGGAGCCGGGGGGGCTCGTGTATCAGTTCGAGTATCGCATTCAGGTGATGGGTGTGTGTGTGATCCGCTCCAACCCGGGACGAAAGGGAGAAACTACTGTACATGCCTTCCTTTCATTGTCGGTCGGTGCGAATTGCACGATGTAAGCTGTTGAGGGATTGCCACGGGAGGTGTCGCCCCGGGAGGTGTCGCCCTACGGTGAGTAGGGAAGATAAGCGTTTATCAAGAGAGTGTGTAGGGTTTTGAGGGAGGTTTGTGGGACTATCTCTTCGTCGTTGGCAGCTTAGGTAGGACCTCACCGAAGTGAAGGCGTGCTTGAATAAGCAGAGGCTGAGATTTCTCGGCAACAACGTGTCTTGGCCCATGCCGCCTGCTGTAGCGAGCGTCATATCAGATCGGGTATCGTAGATGCTGCGTCGTTCTCGTCCTGCAATTTTGTTTCAATCCCTCGGGCGAGTTGCTGCCTTTCGATCGTACGGATGAAGTATTGTGGGTAAGCGAAGACTTCACCTATACATGACACCAAGCCCCCCCCCCCCCCCC